CTCAGTAGTATTGATTAAAAATCTCTTTTTTTTTATTTCAAAACGAATACAATAATGTTTAATATTTACCAATTCAATTTTTGGTGGGCATTATGTGAGTTTGTAAAAAATATGTATCATTTGTTTTATTTAATATTTGGTTTTATTTTACAGTAATTGTTTTTAACAATAAGTTGATCTGCAGCGCATAAAATACAATTTTCACGCATATGTGTGAAGAATAAAACATATTTAAAGGATTTCAACAGCCGGGAATCAAATAAATCTAATTTCAACATGTAATCTTGAATTCTGAATGGGAGACAAAACATTGCCAGAGAAGCGCAGATTAATTCATTTAAAGAAACGAAGGAGAAAAACTAATAATGAAAGACGAGATTTTATTGAATCTGTGTCCCCACAGCCAAAGTTACCTGAAAAATAAATGTAAATCTAATCAAAACCCCAAAAGAAGATGTCCTAGAGGAGGATTAAAGGTGAGCAAAGCATAAATAAGCTCCAGGTTTCGAAACGGGTCGCTTGATAGTTTATCAGTCGTTTAAAGGGTCACCAAGCAACAACAACAACAAAAAAAGGGAGTCAATTAAAGGACCTAATCTTACTAAAGCATCTTAATTGTTGTTTATAGGTTTTCCTGCTTCCCTGATTCCTCACTTCCTAATATCATGATTGGTTGCAGCGCCATGCGTGCCTCTCGCCTTCAAAAACTGAACCCTGGCAACCCTTCCCGCCCTCCGTCATCTGCATGAACTCAGCTGACTCTGCTCTAAAAACACAAACGGCTCCCTAATGAAGCTGAGGGAAAGTGACGCGGCCGCGGCATCAGTTCGTTGGACACTCGCAGCACAATGGGCCGATGTGACAGATCGCTGGGTTTCATCACCACCGATATGATTTCTGAGCAGTGAGGGGAGGGGTATGGTCTGGGTTTTTTTTTTTTTTTTTGCATCCAGCGTGTGAAATTAGCCAAATCTGAGTCAGGCAGCGAGATTAGGAGGCCGAGGTGGGGGCGAAAAATCAAATGAAATAAAAAGAAAAAAGTCACACTCACCTGTTTTGGGGCCGCGGCCTACTCAGCTCTAATAACTGTGTGATTGGATTATGCCGGCTTTTAACAGCGCCGCAGCTGCAGCTGACAGAGCGGGCTCTCCGCGCTCAGGTCGGGGCCGGGGTCAACGAGAGGCCAGTGGAGGCCGTGACCTTTTTTTCCTCTCTTTCTCTCTCTCTCTCTTTTTCTTTCTACGGAAGACGGAGCCTTCGGCGGCGCTGCGCAACAGGAAGGGCAATGAAAGATTTTAAGAGACAAATCATGAGAGGAGGGCAGGGAGAGGCTTTTCTTTATTGGTTTTCTCTCTCTTTTTTTATTTTCCGTCTTAGCTCGGTGGTGACAGGTTTGATTTCTGGAGATTCGCAGAGGAGGATGTTTGAATTTAACAGGGGGAGCGGGAAAGATGGAGAGTGCTCGAGGAGGGAGACGGGATGTGTTGTGACAGAAGAGCCTCGCAGACACTGCTGGCCTCCTGGTGACTCCACTGTACGCTGGAAACACAAACAAGCCAACCGCTGCTGCTGCTGCTGCAGCGCCGCTGCTGCAGCTGCTGCAGCTGCTGCAGCCTCCACCAAACCCACATCTACTCCCTCACACATTCCTCCTTTCACCTTTCACAAAAGCCATTCAGTTTTGTCCAAACAGGAACCGTCTCCCTCTTTTTTTTCAGTAATAATTTAGTTGGGTTTTTAGAGCCAGCGGCTATTTATGCATCCTCCTAATGGGATTTTGAATACGATTCCCATTTGACATCATCTCATGAAGTCACAGCTTCCAGTGGCAGTCGTTCCATAATCCCCACGCAAACATCCGAGGCTGCAGGTATAAATGAACGAGTCCAGGCTGTTTGTTACTGAGAATAGCAGCCCGATTATTCACCCCTCCCGTGGGGGGGGAGCGGGGGGGGGCATCATGGAGGTGGGGCGGCGGATTTTTGTCTCCGCATCGGTTTAGACCAGGGGATGATGTCCGAGTCCATTGGAGGGAGTAAGTGACAATATTCCCACTCTGGGATTGGTCTCAGCATAGCAGCACACAGACGCCGGAGCTCTCTGATTGGTAAAAAGCCGAGAGGAGAGCGTCCAGAAAACGGGGATTTCAGGCCTCAAAGGACGAAACGTTGGAAACCGGCATCGTTCGTGCTGAAACACTCTCGTCTGGCTGGGTGTATCGCATGACGTCTAATCAATAATCGATGGGGAAATAGTGAGAGAGAGCTTCTTCCTCACCGTGTCTTGGATGCAGATTTTTTTGTTTTTACGACAAATGTATCCAAATTACAATGGCTCCTGGACGATTTCTGAGTTAAGGCAGCAGCAGGAAAACCCGACTGTGTTTTCTCATAATTCTACCCGAAACAAACAATACTGGTGGAAAGAACATTATTTAAGACGTAATACATTTTCCAGGGACTTGTTATGAAAGAATAATTGATTTTCTTATTGTTGCTCTGTTTCTGCCATGTTTATGAGAGTCACTGTCAAACAATACAAAATAAATGGCTGATTCTACAGGTACATTTTAAAATTTTGGATAATTTTTGTGTGTCATTTCTTTATGCTTCTAAACCTTTTTTTTTGTTTGTTTGTTTCCACGCTTTATTACCAAAGTGCAAACCAAACACATTAATACCTCAATACTTTCTTTTTTATTCTTTTACTTATTCAGGATTGTCTTTTTAGTTATTTGTGTAAAATACAAATCTATGAAAAAAAATCAAATCAGGCAAAAATAAATTTGGAAAATAAACCATCCAATAAGAGGTAGTCTAAATATTAGAAGATGTTTTATTTCTTGCATATGCGGAACATTTTTTTTTAACTTAATTTTTCTTGGAAGCCTTGTAATAAACGCTCTAAGATTAAACCATAATATAATATGTTGATGCTGCATGTTTAATAGCGACTGGCTTCAATAGTCACAAGCGTTTGTCTCTCTCTCGCTGTGTGTGTGTGTGTGTGTGTGTGTCTGTTCCCTTCCTGCGCTCTAGGTGGCGCTCTGGCTCTGCCGTCTGCCACTTGTTGCTCTGCTCTCCCTTCAACAGGTTCCTCTGAGCTGCTTCATAAATTCACATTTTCTCCCTGTGAAACAAGGAGGAAGGTGCTGCCTTCCAGCATCCTCTCCGCTCCTACCACGCTCTACTTTATTTATTTATCATTTGTTATTATTCTATATTATTTCTGCACCCCTGCATTCATCTGCACAGCTCCACATAGACGTCATGCGTGACTCCAAGAAACAACGGCGCCTGACAGCAGCCCAGACGTGCCGTCAGAGCCGTCAGAGTCGTCACTCACTGTTTTTTTTTAAATATAAAACCATCACCGCCTCGCAGGGACGAGTCCAGAGGGGAGAGTGGGGGCTGGGGGGGACCGTCTGCTGGACCCGGCACACAGTGGCACCATCTCTGGGTCATTACAGAGGAGGAATCCCCGGTGTCTGATGGTGAAACACTGTCTGCAGCTCAAAAGGTGAACAAACACCGAGAGCGTTTGGCATCCAAATCATTCGTACGTCTTTAACGACGGGTCGTGTTCTTCGTTTGCTGTTATTGTTCCTTTCAAGCAGAGGAAAATGTGTTGGATTGACGGCCGAATAGCACAAACCGGACTGGAATAAACACAAAATCAGGCCTGAAAATAGGAACAGAATAATCAGACATGAAGGAGATGATATATTCCTGTTTTGCCCTGAATTGAGATTGTTTTTTTTGTTTTTGTTTTTGTTTTTTGCTAAAAAGTTAGATAGACAATATTCTAACTATCAATTATGAAATTTCTTTTTTTTCTTAATTTACATATTTCTAGTTACTCGATTCCAGGGTTTATCAAACAGGTAGAAAAACTTTTGAATCTTGAGTAAAGATGAGCATCTCTAAATGAATGGACCGATGAGTCAAAGTGTTTTTGTTTGCTTTTTTGAAGTGACGAGAATTTAAATATTCACCCACTTTATTAACACTTTATTTGTGTGCATTAAAAACATATCAAAACACCTTAAAAATGATTAGATTTGTTTACAAAAGAAATAGAAAGAAAAAAATCTATTTTGCTTTTCTAACGTCTCGGTTTTTGTGCCACATCCAAATATTCAAATGAAATGAGAACTGCTAAAAATGACTGAAAACAAACTTTAAACTCTTTTATTTTTTTAAGGATTGTGTTATGTTGTTCCAAATGTCACCTGAAAGCTGTAAATGTCACGGAAATAAACAGTTTCTCCTAAACAGAAATGTTCCTACAAATTTTTATGAAAATTGAGTTTCTAAATGTTCAAAAGAAATGAACACATTTCGTTTTACAGTGGTGTTACATTAAACTTGACTCAATAATGACATCTAAAAAAGCAAACGAGCGAATGTGGAGCGACACAAAGATACTTTACGGAATTAAATTATCTGAAGGTGAAGCTATTTTAAGGGTTTGAAATTAAAAAGTGACACATTTTCATCATTTGTTACATAGGATATTTGTTTTGGAAAAAGTAATTAAACATTTTTTTTTCAGTTGGGAGTTTGCAGCATAAATTAAAATAAAACTTGCAGTAAAATTGTGAGCATATTTACATCTGTGGCGAACAGTTTGATGTTAACTCTTCATTGACACATGAATTAATATTGTATTGAACAAAGGTCAGACTTCAGTGATCTGGAATATCTTTATTTTAGATTAAAACTGAATGTTTCAACTCGAATGACTGTGTGATTTAGCGTCAGATTGCGTGTGCGTCGCAGCGATGGTTTCAGTAGAGCTGCTGACGGGACATTAAAGGACGGGACGGTCCAGAACCAGGAGCTGAAGGGAGAAAAGTCCGTTTTTATCTCCGAGACCACACCCATGTCTCTGTTTCCTTCCCTCTCTTCATCCCTCTATCTCTCCTCCCTCTTTTACGATTCCTCAAACACAAACACATTTTCATCTGCATCATGTTATTGTTCCTTTTTATTCCTTACCTTGAATTTGCTTTTGGAAATGTTCTTTTTCCACTCAGTATCCATGTCTGCAGTGTTTCCCCCTCTTCATCTCCTTTTTCTTCTTCCCCTGTCTCCAACATTTTTCTTTAAACACACAGTTCTCCCCTCAAACTTCCCTCTTAAAACTCTTCCTCCCCCCGTTTCCACCTCCCTCTCACACCTCAGACTTCTTCTTCTCTTCTTCAGCGCCATTTCTCCTCCCACCATCCCTCCCAAAACCTGCCGTCCCGTTTTCTCCTTCCCCTCCCCACAGCCCCATCGCAGCGTTTGTTCGTTTCTCCTTGCTTCGCCCACCTCTCCTCTTCTTCCTCCTCCTCTTCCTCTTGCTCCTCGGTGCAGCTGGTGGGGCCCTTCCATTAGTCCTGACATGCAGAGGCACTGATTCTGTAAAGGTCGCGACCTCTCGCAGTAGGCTGCGCCAGGGCTTAGCGCGACACTCTTGCACATCTGCGTGCCCTGGGTTGCCCATTGCATGCATAGTTTGCCCTTTCCACAGCGCGCACTGACACACACACACACGACCACAAAACTGCAAAGAAACAAACCCACACACACACACACACACACACACACGACCACAAAACTGCAAAGAAACAAACCCACACACACACACACACGCACACAGTTAGATGAACACACACAACGCTGGCCCACTCTCATCAATGCTGACAAGACTTAACCCCTCCTTCGGTAGCACCAACTGAGTTCACAGCACCTCTGTGTGTGTGTGTGTGTGTGTGTGTGTAAAAGAAAGTCAGATGTGCGGAGGGACAAACCCTGATTAATTGGACTGCTGTGGTCTTGGGAAAGACCTACAGCCGCCTCTTTACCTCGCTGCCTGTTTCTCACGCCTCTTCTTCATCGGTCGTCGTCTTCCCTACCTGTTTTCCTGCGTCGGCGGCCATGATGGGTCGGACACAGGTGTGAAGGTGTTTGGACGTTCAGGACCACAGCGTCGGTTGGATGTGGTGGGAACACAGTTGGTACTTTAAATGTGTTCAAAAAGAAACGAGCATAAACTCCGTCGGAGTGCGTTGCAGTAACAACAATTCGTTTTATTTGTACAAACATAACAGGAGATATGAGCATCAGAGAGCATCCTAAACCACATTTTTAGCATTTCAATATATTTGGGTCTGACTTCGAATGTGTTTTTGAAACAGCTGAATGCTCTTTTACGTTTAAAAGCTTCAAAGTTCAGCTGTTTTGTCTGAATCTATTTTTTAACAAATGTAAAAAAAACTTCAGATTTCTTATTCTTTCTGATTCTTTCCCATAAATAACACCTGTTGCTTTAAAATGCGTCACCATCCATAGAACCGGCTCGGCATTTGACCTTTGCTGACTTTAGGTCGCATTCTGTAACCCTGCGTCTAATGAAATGTTGCATTTCATTAGACTGGCTCAATCTGTTTCATGTTTTCTTTTCTTTTCTGGTGTTGATCAAGGTTTTGACTCTAAAAGCACCAGAGCTAATACGGAGCTTCTCAGCAACGTGATGCAGCTCATCTTTTCAAATTCAAACGGGTTGCAAGTGGAAACGGAAAGCAGGACTCGACTGAGTCCACTGGAGGAGCTGCAGAGATCCACAGCTCAGGTGGGGGGATCTGTTCACAGCTTTAGAAAGAGGGACAGCAAGATGACGTCACATGAAGTTTTCCTCAAGTCAGATGAAACCAGATCTGATTTTTAAAGGACATCTTGGAGGAAAACTGGCCCTACATCCCTCTTGGAGAAGCACGGTGCTGGCAGCAGCATGCTGTGGGAGTGGGGCTGGGAACTGGAAACTCGGTTGAGGTGTTTACACCCCAGATTGCACAGATTTGGTCTGAATTTCTTTGGCTGTGGTTTGTGTTTGTTTGGCTTCTTCGTCTCCTCGGCAATTTTATTAATGGAACGCATTTTCACCCACGAGGCAATTAAAGTGCTTTACGTGAGTTAGAGGAAATGCAGGGAAAATAAGAAAAGGAAAGCAAGACAAAAAAATAAAAGTATAAAACATTTACAGAAAGGTAAACATGTTAAATAAGAATAAGAGTTTATAAACTAGTAGGGGTTTCTCTCATGATTTGATAAAACTAAATGTTGGATCTCCATGTTCGATTCTATAAAATAGTGGGTCTTAAATGTTGATCTAAGTTGTTTCTCTTGGTGGGTTTCTCTGAATTCGGTGAACTGAACCTTTTCTGTAACCTGGACAGATCTAAATATTATTTCCGGTATTCGTTTCTGAGAGTAATTTCACTGTCCTGCTCTGAGACGAAACGCAAACCAGCACACAACGCACAGAAACATTCATTCGAAGCGTCAGCATCCCGTTTTCAAACCGTTTCAACGTTTTCACTTTGGAAACCCTGGCGAACTCCTCCTCTCCCCCTCTCCCAACCCCCTGCGTTTCCATCCTCCCCGCCGCTCCGGGTCCGCCGGTCCCCACTGTAACCGGCGACTTTGTCTTCGTTCCCCCCCCTTTGTGGCCGGGACAAAGGGGTCCGGTGCCCTCTCACAGGCTAGGTTACAGGCTGTCACATGAGGCGGACACTCTTGGACCGCGCAGCGTTATCTACTGTGACAACTCCGATTACTTCCACAGCCTCCCATCTGATCAGCACATCCCATTCAATTAGTGGCAATTAGTCCTGGTCCCCCCCATTCTCCACGGCTACAAACCACACCTCTTCCTCTTCCTCCTCCTCCTCTTCCTCCTCTCCCCTTTGCCACCTAACCCTTTACCCCTGCCCTGCTGTGACGCTCCAACAAAAAAGAAAAAAGAAAAAAAGAAAAAGAAACTCTGAGCCTTCAAGACACAACCTGGCACTCTGGCTGGTGAGCAACTTTGGGTCAAATTGCAGTCTTCCCCTTCAGACACCTTCGTCCCAGCAGCCCCCTGCCCCTCGTCCTCCAATTATGCTCTCACACACCCACGCATGCACACAATGACTCATTCACACATTCATACTCAGATGCACCACCAGAGCGCATATTCAAAGTGACACATCGCACAGAAACCGTCTGGTTTTCTGCACACAAACTCCCACAGGTCCGGTTCTGAGACCCGCAGGAAGGTTTTCGTGAACCTGAAACTTTAAAAGTATTAATGTAAATCAGGAAGCTCTGAACAGCAGATGAATCAATCAAGGCAAATAATTATACATTTTCACACAGTTTGCAAAGATCTTGTAGATGTTTGTGGTTGATTCTCATCTCCTTTCACTGGGGTTTCTCCCATTGACTTGGATGTCTCCTCTAGCTTTTCAACGGGGCCAATCACCGAACAGAACAGGAAGTTGTGAGAAATTATTTGCCGCACCGTTTTAGAAATGTGGTCTGCCTGTAGTTTTAGCAACGGCGGCGGAGGAAGTGAACGACGGCGTTCAGTCCACGCTGGCCACGCTTCCAGACACTAGAAGCCATCTTGTTCAGCTCAGCACTTCTCTCTTCGCAGAGAAGGGTGGTTGTTTATACTTTTTGCTTTTTCACAGACCATCATAAAATACTTTTGGAAATTTGTAGCAGGTTCCCTACGATAGAATAAAAGAGTAAAGCACTAAACTCTTAGGTTGTCACCGTCTACCATGCTGCCTTCAGGCCCATCTGAAGCCCTTGACCCCCGGTTTGGGAACCGTGGGCTGGATATATGAATTCAGGCTACAACACAAAAATTCCCAGCATCATCCCAAGGCCTTCGTTTCGCTGTGTATTCCCTTTGTATGCTGCCAGCCCCCCCCTCGCCCACCTCTTCCCTGGCGCTGTGAGTTTGCACACACCTGGCCTTCACAAATGAGGGCCCTGCAAACACAGCAAGCGAGGGGAGAAATCGGGATGCGCGGAGGCGGGAGGGGAGGGAAAATGGGTGTTCGGTCGTCAAGGTCTTTCAGCATTCCGATGGAGCAAAAAGTTAATGACGGCTCCATTGTGTTGGGGGAAAGCTGGCCGGAGGAGAAGTGTTACAGGGAATCACCGCCTGTACCAGTGAGCAGCAACAAAAGGGGGCCGGCTGTGAGCTGCGACAAGTTTCCTCTTTAAAAATCATTCGGAGGCGATATTTATTTCACTCCGAAGGACTTCGGGAACATTTCGGCCATTTTGAATGTGCGGAGCGCATGCATCGACGTTCCCTTACGAGAACGATCAAAGGGGAAAAGCAGGGAAATATTATATAACACGAGATTGATTGAATCATTTCTTGATCAAATTAAATCACTTTATCACTCAGTAACTCCCTCTCGGGTTTTCCAGCATGCCCGCCTTCCCTGCAGGCCCTAATGCGTGCTGACAGTTTCCCTCCGTAATTGGTGATCACACCCAGATGGATGGTTCCTTAATTTGCTGTTCCCAATAATGCCGGGCGGGCAGCTCAAGGGAAAAGGGGCAACAGGGTGGGGGGCAGAGAGGGGGTGGAGGGTTGGGGGGGAGTGGGGGTGAAGAGCTGCAGCGTTAGTGGAGGTGAGGGGAAGCGGGTGGGGGGGCATCCTTGATTTGTTGGTCATAGATACAAGAGCAGTAAACACCCTGGGCTGCAGACCCGACAGTTTGACCAGGCTTTTGTTCACACGTCCGCTGAAAAGCAGCTCCCTCCCCCCTCATCCTCTCCTCTTCCTCCTCCTCTCCTCTTCCTCCTCCTCTCCTCTTCCTCCTCCTCTCTTCTTCCTCCTTTCCGAATGAACCTGGTCTCTTTCCAGCTCTGTTTTCAAAAAGCGGCGTGTGATTGTGTTGCGCCTCGGATTCTCCCCTGCGTGTTCCCGGGAGGGGGGGGGGGGTTTGTCGCAGTGACAGGATGAGGAAGTGATGTCTCGTGTGTGTGTGTGTCCCCCCCGATCTTCCTCCCCCCCCCCTCCGCCCCAAACTAAACGGATTTCTGCAGCTTGTGTGAATGAGGCTTGAACGCAGACAAAGAGCAAAATGAAGTTCCCGGGGTTATAGGTTACGATCCGGAGAGGAACTTTGACTGGTGTGGTCGCGTTGGCTTTAATAGGGAGAACACAAATAAAGTGATGGACCGGGTCGAGACCCTCTGTTCCTAATGAGGGCAAGCCGCCGTGACCCTGGAGAGCCAGAGGACGAAGAAAGGCCCGTTCGGTTGATCCAATTGAAGGACTGGAATTAGTCTAAGA